ACCGGAAAAGAGGCGGACGAGTGAAGACCAGAAAGGAGACTGTCAACGCTAACGTTGAAGTGCTCTCTGGGCCTGCGAGGTACGGTAACAGATGGTCGAAAAACGATTGGCTGAGGTTGATGGCATACGTTTGCCGTGGTGGACAGAAAGCAGCGATTCGGGAAGTCAATAGAGCCAACAGCCAACTAAACTGGTGACGGCGAAAGCCGTAACCGCAACAGACAGCACTTAATTACGCCATAAGCCATAGTTGCGCCATACCCTCAACCACGGTTCTATTTCGAAACTGCGTCTTTTTTGCCTTGATGCGAACCACGCAGCGAAAAAATTCAAACGACTCCAATTATTACCTATGTACGGTGGGATGGGACTCATCATGCAACAAGCAATGTTCTTCACGCAAAGGTGGTTCAGTGGAAAAAGTTCCCATTTGCAGATGTGTAATAGATTTGCAAATCGTCTTTTCCATGTCCTCTGCGAACGGCGACAAAAAGCCGCATTTGCATTTAATACCAAGCCATTAACTATTCGCAGAATTTACGTTAATTTTACCCTAAAAACGAACACAGCGTTCATCCAGTGGCGGAAACTGGTTCGCCGGAACAGACGTTGAAACGTCTGCCAATTCCTTCAGATTTCTACCGTATTTTATCATAAATCAATCGCAGCATCAGCATCCACTTGACTAGTCACAGGATATGTTATCTCTGAACCTGGAAGTTTGTTTACATAGAACACATACATTTCACCATGCCTGCTAATCATCATTATTATTGTTATTTGTTTTTGCTATCTTTGTTACTGTTCACTGGTCTTTCGTCAAAGCTTACACTTAAATGGCAAATTTTCGAGGCATGAACTGTGACTAATTATTATAAGAGTGCAACGTGCTTAATTATGTGACTCCAATGCGACAAACAACTTCGACTTCCCTGGGATCCACTCGTTGTCCTGTTTTCAGTCAACGTCTTTGACAGTTTGACAGAATGCGGTCGAATGGTTGTCACACAATCCAATGATCTTACTAAGTGCTAATGAAGAGTTTAAGACAAGAAACAAGTGTTTCATGCTGCGTTGCTAACCAACCACCGAGTGGCTGAACGGGCCCAAGAAACGTACTTCATGTCGTCCGCGAGGCGGCATACAATGCCTTTAGGGTGGATCATAAACTCCGCGGCAAAACCGTCGGTATAACAGCTGAAAGCGGTTCATTAATTCCTTAACTTGGGTTCCATTTCAAGATGGGCTTGGCAATGACCAAGCTGTTCTACGGGCCATACGAACTCTGACGGGGTGACCAAACAAGCGACCAGTAAGCTACCCTGCCCTAATGGAGAAACTGAAGACCGACAAAGACTCAGAATCCCGGACACTGATCGCATTTCAGCAGCATTCATGAAAACTCTCGTTGATAAGGGCAATTTCAAGTATCAGTACTTCGGCCTCATAACTGATATTTGTATTTCTAATATGGCTGTATTCAATTCAACTCGTTAACAAATAAAAACGGGCTCATGCTGTAGAACCATTATTATTATACGATTTAAGGACCGACGCAGCGAACTAT